TCCAAACACTGAAATGCTATAAATATATACTAATAGTAATTTTTAAGTAGTAGTATTATTAGTAGTAGTATTTAACCAAATGAGTTTTAAGCAATTACCTAGCTACCGACGTCTCTGCTCACTATGCGAACTGAGCTGATCGCGTCTGAGGTCGCATCTACCGTACCTATGGTCCTAGGCTATGCGGCCCTGTCACGCCCTTTCTCGTTTCGACCGACTGCTGACGACGTGGCGGACTCCTCTGCTCTTGACGCAGTAAAGGCGTATCATGGACGCATCTCCGGTTCTTCGGTACGTTCTCGTGACTCCGAGGTCTTCTCCTCGCATGGTCCTTCGGATGTCGATATTACTCGCCATGGGCGCCATGGCTGCCGCCATATTCACAGAAGCATCATGCTCCTATCATTCACATTCACATACTTTTCCCCACGAGCGACAGTTTTTTCTCCTAAAAACTACAAATGACATTCCATTTTGAATTATGAGCCAGCCTTAGGAGTTATCACTGTCTGCTCTTCTTCCTCAGTTACACTGCTGGCTCGTGTAAACTGAGTCTGAGTTTATTACTTGAAACAAGCGAGTAATCGGCTCGTGTAAACTGAGTGTGAGTGTATTAATTGAAACAAGCGAGTAGTCGAAACGTGTCAACGACTTCTTTGGAATGTTCGGCTGTGCCGATGCATTTCTTAAATCATATGTATTTAAGGGAGTTCAAAGGCGTTTGCCTATATTTCCTTTAATAAACTTGACTTGACTTGACATATACCTTAATATCAGGTTAACCGCAGGCATATGTCCATGGAAACGTTAAACTTATATTTCTGAACTTTAGGTAATAGGTAAAGTACCGACACACATAACTGAGTGTTTAAAGGAAGATTAAAAATTGGTATGCGTTCGAAAACTGAAGTAAACTGAAGTCTCCCTTCTACATAGCGTTTCCTGGTCTCTCTTCAGGGCGTTGTTCCTCCTAACCTAGGTTGACGATTGCGTCGGTAGCCTACTTCTTGGAGATGCAAAATGTGTTGGTGATCTTAAATTCTAGAAAGCAATCAGTTGTGGCATAGCACTCTTCAAAATAATCTGAATGAACTTTGCAGACGGTTAGTTGTATTGCTGACACACGTCCATTCCTTATACCCCGTTTTATTATTTGAGTCAACGAGGATTATGCCTTCCTATAGGGCATTGATCACCAGAATCTCTCGAAAGATAGAGAACAGAAGAACGGTTCTTTTTAATTCACTG